CAATCTACATCAACAATATATGAATGTGCTTTAGCACAGGTAAGAACTACGTTTGCGTTGATGACTTAAAAGTCGTCTATATAACAGACATTTGTGATGTACGTAGTACTATGCAAACAGTTCAACATGAACTCAACCTGGTAGCTGTTGTAAGCGTGGGAGGTTAAAGCTCAACATAGAAAGGTGGCTAATTATGCTTTGGAGACATGTTTTTCAAACTGAAACTAAATTAACATGAACGTAATGCTCAAACTCACATCAGTGACTGACCTTTGAGTACATTAATCACACAGCCTTAACTTCTCTAAACAATATCTGCCCCAAACCATTTAAAATGCGGAAATTACTAGGCTTCATTTTTCGTGATTTCTTTCAAAATAAAACTAAAATTATTCTTTGCAGGATATGTGTAAGACCTGTCGATGAGTGCTGCTCGTTCTTCTTTTATAGCTTATGCCTATCTGATATGTTTAAGATGAAAGGAATACAACGGGATTTCACTTTCCAAATTTTTAAGACCAACTACAGTTCCTCATACCATATCCTAGGACTAGAACGCCTCTGAAAAGAAATGCTTAGGTTCGATTTGTTTCTCTGCTTCGAGCTCCTCAAAACCCTTACTTACCCCACGTATAATATGGCTCTTGTCCAAGGCCCACATGAATACGATCTTCGAAACAGTGTATCTACGGTCAAAGTTGAAAATTGCACATCAGCTTTTTACTCTCATATACACTATATTGACTTACCATTAATTTTATCTCACCGTCCATTGCTTTATCCATAACTGTTATATTTCTATACTTTTCTCCCTACTTCGGTTAACATCTATCTTTAAGCCTATATTTTGGTTGGCAACCTCTACTTTATACTGTAGTCGTTTAAAGCATTTCATAGGTGCCTTACCTACAGTACGTAATTTATAACTCCCTGAAGATTGTAAAGTGGTACTTACAGAAGTGTTTTCCAGCAGGATGTGAAACCCAGTGCATCTTGTGACGTATTATACTTATCCAAAAATAAGCTTAAATGAGTATAATATCAAAAAAATAGGGAGGGTGGAGTTACTGACTAGCAAGCATTGATGGTGAGGGTGATGGCTTCAATCCACCCATGTCTGTGTGGCAGAACATTTTGTTTGTATCAGGCTCTTTGTGGTTGAGAACGAGTCAATTAATCAGTGATACTGAGGTTGTTCTCTTACGCACACAATTCAAACTCAGTCAAAATTTTATGCTGGACTAGCTATTTTATTAAGACAACCTATAATGTGCTGACTCAGACACTGTGGCCGGTATTAGACGAAGAATAACTAAAAACAAATCAAACAAAACATGCTATATTTATTAGTCTTTCTTGACACGTTGCTCTCTTGATACACTTTCCATTCTAATAAACATCCTCCTTTATTCTAACTTTGACTACTTTTTCATCATTCTAACCAACTCCACCCTGTTAAATATCACAGCTTATGGTTTTTTGCTGAGTTCCCTCATTTGGAGGCTCTAGCGAAGTTCCATTTTGGCAAAAGGAGCCAGTATGAGTTTAATCTCCTAATCTATCATACCTCTGTCTGTTCCACTACAAAATGTTGAGCATTGTTTAGTGTTCATATTCAAGGGCCTTGCAGATCTTTTGTTTCTCTTTTTCTCAGCATCACGCTCCCGGGTAAAAGCTATAGAGCTTCTGACGCCTGGAACAAATTAGACGTACACGTCTATTCAGGGTCACAACCCATGCAAAGCGCTCTGTAAATTTACTTTATAAGAACTATGAACTTAAAAATTTTTATTGCGCAAGTACTTAGCATGGCAAGAGTTCTATCACAATTATGCTGAGTTTGAGTTGGGTGTTCAGTGTGGACGCTATGCTACTTCAGAATAATATTTTAGAAGCTGTATTCAGTTCAGTATTAAAACAAAAACCCAATTGTTAACTCTCTGAGATATCTGCACAAATGTATTGTTTTTTACTTTTATTTATTTAATCTATTTAACGATTCTACTTGTGGAGCATACTGTAATGAAACTAATGTTACAACTTATGAATCATCCATGTTAAAATGTCGTGTACCTTCTCTGGCAGAAATATATTGTAACGGAAGGAGAACGATGAAAATCCCTCCGCAGCTTTTTTGTTGGACAGCACTGTCATTTATTTGTTTCTTCTCCCTGTCGTGTATTTTAACCTTTGTTCAGATCTCGTTTAATCACACTTTTTGCTCTTCAGTCTTCCCCGTCTGAGCTTTCGTTACGTGATTTTGAATAAATACTTACCTTTTGTTACCTAATTTTCCATCGCATGTTGCCGGACTATTTACAATAATGCCGTGTTTGAGTGAGCTCAAGGTCACGGCGTTGTTCAGTGTGTGACTGTTCACCTTTAGACTGTCTGCTTGGGAAGAGTGCTGGAATCCCTGTATGATTGATCCCTTTTTTGGAAATACTTTTTATTGTTGGCGCGTAGTCAACAAAACTCTGGACAGAATCATTGAATTTATGATTGACTTCATAATTAACAACTCTATCTTTGACACTATCAGTTAAATAGTGGATCAGAAATGAAAAGTGACTTCATGGACCTTAATGAATTAAAGATGCAACAGACATTCATCGTTTGATAATGATTTGTTCGCAACTGTTTTACACTCGAAGAATACCAACACAGTCGAATCATAAGTCCGCAACTAATGAGTTCGAAGATATATTTGGAAGGCAATCGATATGCAGAGAAGCTTTGAATTTAAGCCGACTAAAAGGTGAAAGAGGCGCGTAGTACGGCGCACTCACTTGTGATCTGGTGAGGTTGCGTGACTGGTCGCCACTACCTATGCCTGTGTAGTGCGGCTAATGAGGATGTGGAACCATGGTCTTATTCGGTATTAGTACTACCATAATAAAGGACGTAATCTCAAAATTTTAGATTTGCCATGATGTGACTACCTAAATAGTACGATTTTATGTGGAAGATCTTGCGTGGTAAAGCCATGCTACTCCAATTCTTCCCGCGTTTACCAACACTGACCTCCTCTAAGCGTTATGTGTTGAACGTTAATCACGCAAAAATTTTAATGAGAATCGTGTGGTCAGAAACCACTGAAACGTCAGTATCAATAAGGATGACTTACGGAACTATTTATTTTACGGATTTATTTTTTCGCTACATCATTTTCTCTGGAATCAAAATTAGTTATTGCTACAGGTGACATATCAACTAACTCCTTGCTCATTTTCTAGACAGGAATTCCTGTTTTATTGTCATTTGCATTCTCTCAGTGCATTGGAATAGTATTTTAAGCCTAACGTTTCGCAGACCGTTCTTCTTTCTTGATTTCGCTTAAATTCACAGTCAACTGAAGCTTTGTCCGCAATTTATTATTTGTAGCTCGTTTTGCACACATCGAATTCCTATTGTTCTGGCAAAAAAGCCGAAAATATCCCATTTGTCTCCTGTGCATTTGAATTCTGTTTTTTATTCTGCTTCTGTTTTTATTTACACTCGCAGATGATAGTTCGTCACAGTCTTCGAAAAAATTCACGGCAAACTGTATGTTAATTCCCCTCTAATGTGGTAAAAAATGCGACAGATAGAAAAGCTTATTTCAAGGACAGTACTCAGTTTATAAAAAGGTTGTCACAACCAACCTTAGAGGTTCTTTAGCGAGCACTTAATTTATAGCTACGAAATAGATGCTGAAATCATATCAGAAACATCCTAAGTCTGTTGGCTGGACTGAGGTAGATTTTTTAGTAGGATGGGAGAAAAACGATCGTGATGTGATTCAACATTCAGAGACTTATCATTGCTCAGAGGAGTATTGGTGTCATCAAAAATACCAAAAGGAACAGCGAAAATCAAGGCATCTAGAAGGTTGTTGCTGCGAAAGGCTGAGAAATTTGAATTAACTCAGAGTATTGCCTTCAACTGCATCTTTTCTGGACACAAATTCGTTCCTCAGAAGGCTCTTAAATTCAACGAGTGAAATCCGTCAACTAGGCCTAATAAACTCGAATGTCATTACTAAAGATATTGAAAAAACTAATAAACTAAAGAAACTCTACATGTACCATAGTAAGCTGATCAACTCATAAGACTAGCTAACCAGAAGCTACGACATGTGCTGCATCTCTTGAAACGTTTAACGATAATCCAACGACGAGAATGAGAAATCTCTACAGAGGAAATACATAAACTCAGAACTACTTGCTTCTAAGAACCTAACCGACCAAGGAAGGTTTCTTCACAGTCTCCAAGCAAAAGCCAACTTAAAATGCCAGAAGAGATAAATCGTAATATAACATGACCCAAGATTGAACCCTAGAATGTTTTACGACACCTGTAACAATGATTCTGTATATTATAAAAACACGTCAGGTATTTATGGTTTAATAAATATTTTGCCAGTTACACCTTTATCATCGAAACACTCCAACCCAGTCAGATCAGGGGTCAGAAATATAGGAGTTGGAAGATATATTTGAAAGTCTATCGTTGTTTCGAGGAAGGTTTGGTCTAATCTGGCTAATAGTTGGAAGGGATGCATAGTTCAGCGTACCCACTCGTGATGTGGTGCGGATGAGTTACCGAGCGTCATGTGGTAGGTGAGTCTGACAAAACGAACGCAATCAGCAGACAATGCGGAGGACTTTCAGAACGCTTGATTTCAGTGATTTACCGCTAACTCCTAACTGTACTAACCGCAAATATAAGATCGTATTTTACATATGTCTTTGTCGAGAGTGTATCTAATACAAATCACCCTAATCTGTATTGTGATTTCAGGAAGCTCTTTTCTGTTTATTTATATTACAAAATCCAGTAGATTTGCAGTTTTGGTTTGTAGATGACAGCCAACACATTAAAATTATCCTCGTGTATGTAGGAAATATATAATATTTATACGAATGTAAAGCTAACATTCGTTATGCTTTGCGATATGCCTTACACTGTATGATCTAACAAAGTTGGTTTCACATAATATTTGTTTGTTCAAGTCCTGTGCAGTCATCCCACTCGATAAAGGGGATTTGGCGGCAATCTACCAGTCGTACTGTTGCCCAAGATAATAAAGTTCATACTATTGTGTGAACCCAAGAAATACAAAATCAGTTAGGGCTTTTGATGAGGTTTGTAGCTCTTAGTTTCAAATGTATGGATTGGGATTTTAAGTAACACTGTAATAATCAATGTATTCAGAACGGATTTTCTTGCTCTCAGCCAACCTAAGCAACTAGGTTATTTTAGGCATTCCTGTATTAGTTATTCACTAGTCAGTGCTGGTTTGTTGTGCTGTAGTCGTGTATTTTGAATATTCACGAGTGGTTTATGTGTTAATTTCAGCATTGTTAGCAACCAATCAATGACCACTATTGATTACGAGGAAGGGGAAGTTGAAGATTTAAGTGGCTCAGACCATGAGGATTCCGGCCACGAGTGCACAGATTATGGTCCACCAAAGTATTTTGACTCATTTTGTATATTACCTTAGCAGAGTTAGTCTTCGTAAGTCGTCAAAGCGAAAACGCCACACCCAGCGTAATGATGGTAGGTCCAGGTGTTCTCGTCGAGAATCAACTGTCTTGTTGGGTGTACGAGCTATTGATCTCCCGCACGTGGATGGGCGGGTCACAAACAATAAGCGCTCCAAAGAGCGAAGTAAGCTGCCACTACTTGAATTCCTGTCTGAAGATGAAGATGATACTTACTTAACGAACCATGAGAAACTCGTAAGTTCTGTTACCTCTGACATGATGCATGCGAAAGGACAAGACGAAGTCATCTGAAGGAAGTCGTAAGAGGAAAAAGCGGAAGAAAGATGGTCCTCATAGATCTGCATCTCAATCTAGGTGTAAGTATTATATGGATGGTCGTTGTAGCAAGGTTTGTTCTTTTGTATAAGTTTCACCTGTGATTAGGGAAGTTCTTGCCCATTTCTTCATGATTTTACACCAGCAAAGAAAAATGAGCTGTGCAAATTTTATGCTGTTGGTATGTGTTCCAAAGAGTCTGCGTGTTCATTTTTACATGGTGAATTTCCGTGCAAGTTTTTCCATCTGACGAATGATTGTCACCATGGTAGTGACTGCAAGTTTTCACACGCTCCTCTCACAGAATTCACACGCGCGTTATTAGACAAAATATCCTCAAAGGTTAGCTTAACATTTATTGTCAACCAACTTTCATCAGCATACCGTTGATCGCTGTTCATCTAAACCCGGGCTTGTACGACAACCTGACTCTAAACCCCTTGTGAGTGGCCGTCCAAGAAACGATGATCATGGTGACGTTGATTACAGATTTGACCAGAATCCCCCACAAATGTGAGTTAATAAGGCATGCTACCAATCGATTTCTTGTTTGTTGTCGCTTTTCATATGACAAATTCTTATTGGTGCCTAATATTTTGATGTAACTCTTGTCTGTTCTTATATCCGACATTAGCAAGACTAAGCTTTTGATATATAAAGTTAGGTTTCATATCATATTATTTGAAACATTTAAAACTTGTGTTCCTTTCGTTATTAAATGAACCTTTCGGATAACTATATTTAGGGCATCGTAAATCTGAAACCTTTTTAAATAATACGTAAATATTTTAACCATTTTTGTTTATTTAACTGATAACGGTCGCTCGCAATGGATTTTATAGTTCAATATATACTTATTTATTTCTCAGTATCATGGGATGGAAAACATTATTTTCTTTGTTAGACCACCACTTATTGAAACTGTGAAGTAACTGCGCCAGTGGTTCTCGTCTTTTTCTACTGCTGGAATTTAATGAAGAAACATGAAAATGAGTTATTTCGAGAAAGAAAATGTTTATCTGTTACTGATTCCTTGTTGTATTAAGTTAGTGAGCTATGGCATCTGTCTTGTTTTCTCTCTAAAATCATCACGTCAAACAGTTTGAACTTTTCTGTTTGTCGAAAGAAAAAAATAAGATGAAAGTAATCATATGATCCTAGCATGATTCCTGGAAACAAACAAATAGACTGGTAGGTTGTTGTTAACTTGTGTTATTTGGATTCTGTATCACTGAACTACTACAATTCTACTGATTTGAAAATGTACCCTCATAATTCCATTACTATTCAAGGCTACATAAAGGATTCGCTCGTTCCGACCTTATTTTATTGCTTTAAGACTAGCTCAAGTACATTTCCAAATCGCTGCTTCATATCCAAAAACTCAGGTTCTGTTAGTTGGTCCAACATTTTAATATCACGATTTATAGCTTTTCCACAACCTGTTCCGGTCACTATTCTTTGTAGTATGTATAATGCACAACTACTTCAGCCAATGAATGAGGTTCCATCTTTCTGATTCCCAACTAGCCAAACTGTACATTGGCGGTTTTGGTTGACAAGTAAATGTTGATCCTCAGTAATGTCATCTACACTACGTTACTTGTAGATTTGTTTTGGCCGACATTTTTAGTGTCTAATCAGGCTAATGAATAAACTTTGAAGTAGCAGGAAAAGGATTACTAATCTTTCCTAACCACCGCTCATATGAAGAGTTATTAAGGGATCTTGGTGGCTAAATACATTTCGGCAGGAATACAAAAAACCTGTTCGTCACTCATTAACCTACATCAATTATTATCACAAGCAAGTATCCATAGTCCTAATATATGGATTTATTTAGTCCATAGTTGTGTCTTGCTTTGGAGCTAAGAAATAAATGGCGTCATAAGGTTACAGATATTCAGTTATAAATACTTCTACAACACCCACTTCTGTACAAAAAAGCTATATAAGTGATTTGTTGAGCATTGGTCTATTTAATCAGATTTTAGGCACACTGTGTAGAGTCATAAACTACTGCACGGTTGCCCAAAACGGTAGATATAGTGGGATGCGGCCCTATAACCTACCAAGTAGCTTTACCTGTAAGTCGCCTTTACACAAAAGGTTAGGCGACTGTGGTAAGCTTATGACAACTCATGTTTGGAACATGTATCAGACATCGAATCTCTGTCTTCGATGGGTAGCACTTTTTAAGGTGAGATGAGGTTAAAGTAGGTAAAGATGACGTCAGTTCATTAGGCCACTGACAGTAGACCTGTTGTGTTGGGAGATGCTTTACATGGTGAGCCGATGGTTTGGTAGTCTACCAACCTAAATGGCGTCGTTAGGAAGTGGCATCCATGGTATAAACGGCTCTACTTCCCATTCTTATTTTTCAAAGTCCCAGCTTTGTATCCGTGTTTAGTAACATCAATCTATGTTGGTTTGATGTAACGAAATATACTTATATTAGCAGTTAATTACTCAAATTAGTAGCCTCAGTAGTCAACTTAATGTTGTGTACCTAGTACGGACTAATGAGACTAAGCTATTGCTTAAGCCGAATTAGGTAAAATAAAATTAAAATCTATGAACAACTGTTTTAAATATAAACAACCGTACCACCGGACATTTTTCATTACCATTCCACACCAATTATATACATTGATGGTAACGTTCAAGGTGCTTCGTTCTCACGTAAAACAGTTGGTCCTATAGGGATACAGTGTAAAGTGCTAAGATGTGTTTATTTGCCATCACATCTCAAGCTTCGCTTTTGTACTGTGGTTGTATTTTAGGTAAACGAATTTATCTAAATTATTCATAGAGTGGCATCTATCAGTACATGGGACCACTCTTGCACATATAAGGTCATGCTACTTCGGACTTACGGTATTTCTGCAATAAAGTTGTCAAACATCGACCTACTGATTCTCTGATTGTCAGTTAGGAGTGACACTAGTAAAAATATACTGCCAACCTATCTTGCCACTCCCCTGTGGTATACTGCTACTAATTGCTGGCTGTCCCATATTAGCTTTGGTCTCACAAAATACTTTATTTCTTTGTGGGGCACCTTCCACATCAAAATTGATGGCGTCGTGGTAGTAGATATGGGAGCAAATCATAATCATTAGATGTGACGTATATTCTTTCTTATTTAGTTTTCTCTTCACTCTATTTATGAATTCATCTTTAACTACAAGCAGGTAGATTTTCTGGGAAACCATCCAGTTTTGGGACAAGACATGGACCAAAGGATGATGGGAGGTTAGACACAAATTTCCTTGATGAACTAAAACATATTTACAAATTCAGAGATACATGTTCTATTTCCAGAATCTTCACATAATATTGTCTGCGCATTAGGCACTTATAAACAAATCTTGAAAAACCTTGACGCCAGTAGTTTCATTGTGGGTTGCTATCTGTCTAAACCACACTTCTCAGTAATTTGGATCCGTACATATCTTCAGTTTTGAATGATGTGCACCCACTTAAAGTAGGGAAATTAGTGTTGCAACTAATCACCATCCGCCAATTTTAAACCGTATAGCCTGGTCTTCGTGAATTCGCCATTCACTACTAAACACTATTGTTAAAACGGTTCATCATCACATGTTACAAGCTCTACATCGACTGTATTAGCACTGCATTCTTTCATTGTATGTAAGGAATATATCGTATACCCTTGATTTTACGACAAAATTATCACCGCGGTCAACATAATCTATACGCGTTGAAATTTATTTAAGGCAATAATTCCTGATAATTCATTAAAACAGCATTTTTTCATCATTTTGTGGAGCCTTAACAATTAAGAAATTAAGAGCGAGTATCTCAAAACTTTGATGCTAAAGTAAATAGTAAAACCAACCACATTTTTGACGTAATAATGTTCCTCACCGTTTGGCTACCGATTATCTTATATATTCATTTGCAACGTTCATCTTTTTAAGGAATATATCATCTGGTAAAGAACTTGCTACTCCTGGTTTCAGCCCTCAACGTATGCCAGTTTTCACGCCGAATCTTTTTGCTCCTGTCCGCACTCCTAGTCCTCGTCACTTCCGCCCAGAACACGACACTTTACGCGCTAGGGGGATGCGTCCGTTCAACATGGTTCCTGGTGAGCAGATGCCTCAGAATGTGTATCCCAAAAATGACCGATGTTTCCCTCCACCGACGCCTTACGGTACTGTACCATTTCAGTCTCAGCACGTCATGCCTAATGCAACATGTCCACCCACAGTTAACGGATTTCGCCCCCCGTCACTGCTTGATACACCCCTTAGATGTCCACCTCCAAGAATAATGCTTCCGCGAATGCGGATGATGGATCCTGGAAGTATGAGGTTTCCTAGGTTTAGGCCTAGATGTGAGACATTTTATGGGGCTGGAGTAAGGCCCCCTCCACCTATTCGACCGACTTTCGATGCAGTACATGAAGAAGCCATAGTTAGTTCGGAACTCGACATGATGGCAGCTCTTCTTGCTTCAAGTAAAACGACGAATGACGACTGTAAAAACGGTTCAACTGTCCCTCCTTCGTCACCTACATGTGTAGGTGAACATAGCCTGCAACTCGAGAGTACGAGTCCCCCGCAAGTGAGTTATTTAATTCAGCATATTTAGTGATTGATTTGATTTCATGTATCTGCACCTAGTATTATGTTGCATTACAAAGCAGATAGGATACTTAGAAGCATATCAGAAAACTGCCATTTGAGGTGTCCCTGGTAATAAATATTCGGAAATCAACACCTGGGACTTATATTGAATTTGATCTACTATGATTCACATTGGTCCCGCCATAAAACTTGTTGTGAAATTAGTACTACATACTTTGAACTTGTAGCTAATAATAATTTGTCAGTGATGTGAGTGGTTTCCTTGTTCAATAGGTGTTGACTTACATTTCACTAAATTAATTTTTATGATGAATTTTTTTCTTCCCCTATAATTTTAGCCTTTGGAAACCGAGACAGAAGCAATCCCTCCTAATATCTTGGTTGAAGATGGATCCACACTTGAGTTTAATACGACTACTCAGATAGGTGTCCTTCCATCCCAGGGCCCAGCACCTTGGCGCCTCATTCCGTTGGACATGACTGTCAAAATTCCTTATCCGTTAATGCAGCTCCCTGTAGATGAATTGCCATATCGTTTTGAAGATCCAAGGTTGCGTGGCCAAGTGACAACATTCAGACTTCAACCTCCATCAAAACCTTCGAGTAGTAGTGACTTAGAAAATTCAAGGTGCAATGATGAACCAGAAGCACTAAATCACAACGAAACCAATGCCATTGGAACCAACGATGATAATCCAGGTGGTTTAACACAAAGACGACCCATCAAACTACAGTTGCATGAAATGGCTAACACCTTTGCTAATACTTCATCTGATCATTTACATGTATCTAGTCGGCAAGGTGATCGTTCTTATCTTGATGACCCGCGATTCCGAAGGCGAAGGATTATGGTTCCAACACCAACCTCCCAGTCAGCTTCGAACGTTCTCAATCAAGATAACACAAACAGTACACCACAAACTACACAAGAATGCTCAAACTAATTTATTTAAGATCTCTACCAAGCACTATCGTGCATGTAAATGAGTCCCAGCTTTATTTATTCCAATAATTTATTAAAATCGTCAGCATGTACATAAATAAACCAACGTTTGAACAGATCAACTTCGAACAAGTTTCAGCCGACATGTTTGTCCATATTTTATTCGTCTAAACTTCGAAACTTCCATATTGACTATTCCATTTCAGATACTGTTCCAGATCACTGGACGAATTACTTGCTCTAACTTGTCTGAAAGCAGCATGAAAGTCAGTTAATTCGACTGGTCTAACCTTAAAAAAGGAAAGATAAAATTGTCTGAATATTTAAGGTGGCAATGTCAAAATGTTTGTTGTATCACCATATAACTAATACTAATATGTTTAAGATGGAACGAGAAGTGTCAGAAACAGATTTAGAGAGGATAGTAATTTTTACTGATAAACAGAGGTTATTTTAAGAACCAGATATTGTGACTTTAGGTTAAGCGTTTCACTTACTTCGTCGCATGCTATATGCTGTATTGCTTCTATTGTCAGAGAGCGTATAGGTCCCATTGCAGCTTCCCGACAGAGATTTGCCATGTCTGCTCCGGAATAACCTTTAATGTTTGGAAAACACGATTAGTCATTTGTGTTATCATCAAACAGTCTTGCAAAGGATCATCATATTGGATAAAATAGAGATGAACCTTACTAATAGTAAGTCAATCGACATTAAGTTGTAACATATAAATAAGCAGCACTTACCATCAGCACGATGGGCAATGTCCCAAAAGTCGTCCTCTTTTAGCGTGTGATGATTTTGTCGCAGTAATCTTTGTACTATTTCCTTTCGCGCACTCCTAGTAGGTAATGGGATATACAATCGCTTGACAAACCGCCGTCGGGCGGCCTCGTCAAGTTCCTGAGGTCTGTCGAATTCAGTAAAAAATATAAGCGGATACTGTTTTAGAAGCGTCACCATCAAACAGTCAAATATATTTGGTCCGTAGAGTTGGAAGTTTACAACTCGTTACATATACTTTCTGAGAATGTGTTTAGCAGCTTTATTAGTCCAAGGAAACAAATAACATCACATAATTATCATCAACATAGTTACGTACATATGCAACATTTACGAACAGTGGTACGTAACGACAGAGTAATTATTTTCTATTTACGTCCTTTGATTTAAAGTGATTGGTAGTGCTTTATTTTATAAATGCAACTGTTGTGCTCTTTTGGTATGAGCAACGGGTGCATGAAATTTAATGAAGCTAAATTTGGTTAGGATACTTAATGGTCATTAAGGTTGTGAACATCCCATAAACACTTAGGCATATTACTGTAAACAAATATATATATATATATATATATATATATATATATATATATATATATATATATATATATATGTACCTGTTTGTGGCTCCAATGAAAAGTATGCGTTCATCGTCATTTGTTGTTATTCCGTCCTAAAACAAAAATCGTGCGTCTGAGATGCGCTAATATGATTGAGTAGCTTAGAGAAATACCGAGTTAGTGAACTCACTAGCTGTACTAAGAACTCGGTTTTAATCCGTCTGCTTGACTCATGTTCTGTTTCAGAGCGTTGGGTAAGTAGAGAATCAACTTCATCAATAAAAATGACAGATGGTTGATGAATCCGAGCAATTGAGAACAATGCACGCACTAATTTCTCACCTTCACCAACCTAAAAACAATACGATAATAGTTTTTCAAGTTTGGTAAGTTGGGAAAAAGTAGTATAATAGTCTCTTTGTGAAAAGCACGTTTTTACTAAAGCAATAAAAGTAGCAATTATAAGGTAGAGAATGATTTGCTTACCCATTTTGAAGTAAGAGATGAAGCGCTGATGCTGAAAAATGTCGAGTTACTTTGTGATGCAATACATTTACCTAAACTCGAAAAGAAATTTTTGTACTTAACTCCAACGTAAGTTGTGTCAACGTTTATTTATGTGTGATGACACTCACAGTTTACGCTTGCCTTCTTTAAAGTTGACTATCTCAATAAAAACACTAATTATGCATACATTTTGGCACTAAATCTTTGTCAGGTAATAAGACCATCCAACTTAGATGGCCTTTCTCATCATGGAGTAGTAAAGTGGATTAAGCAAGCACTCACTGTGAGTGTCATATCATAATAATTGAGTACAATACAAAAGTGTACTTTAATTTTTCATAACCTAAGACGTACGTGTTCAAAGCAAACTTACCGATCAAAGTTTTTCCCGTCCCAGGAGGGCCAAAAAGAAGCAAGCCCTTTGGAGGTCCACGAAGCCCAACAAAAAGGTCGCTAAAGTTGAGAAAGGCGGTACAGGATGGTTGATAATATACAAGAAACAAGACATTCTTAAATTTTAGCAGTTAGGAAAAGTATCCACAAGTTTATATATATACCTTTAGACGATGTTTATTGCTAGGATGTGAAAATTGTGTCCTAACATACCCAGGTTGCTTGAATCACAAGTGTTACCAACTTAAAGTAGATTTTCACTTCGAATCAAAGACTCACATCGCGAAATAAAAAAAAAGCCACAAAGTTTTAGAATGTTTCCAGTAAACACTAGTCACATAAAATGCAGTATTTCCTAGAACTTGTGGAAACGATTGCAGGGATATACTGTCCATAACCGGTTTAATTCATTAAGTAGATTATTTTTTTGTCGGACAGTTTCCCGTCAGTAATTTGCCTCATTATTATCCACTACTTTACTACAGTTGTCCAATCTCAATATCGGTAACAAAATAAATTCACTTATTTATATAAGATTTGTGTGATAACAGCGTTCGTAAACGTAAACAGTAGATTACGAAAATTAGTGCTGGTTACAAAAGTGACTACATTTCCCAATCAGAAAAAAGATAAATCATTCATTAGACGGAGGAAGAAATGTCACGAATGGTTAGCCTAAGACTTAAACATCTAACATTATCCATTATTCATCAGAAAGTGTTATTATCTGTAATGGTCAACAAGTTTTCTAGTATTTGAAAATACAGAGGTAACAGAAAACCTTGTTGCAGTACGAAAAGGCTTCTTGAGAATTTTCTGAACGAGCGACAATGTGATAGCACTGCAGAGACAGTGCGACCAACTGACTTCATATAGCACGTGGTGTCGGATATAACAGAGCCTTCCTAATTATCTTATCTTTTCCTGAAGCGAAATTGTATGATACAAAATGGTCAACTCTGCTGTTGAAACCTCTGTTTGGTTGGGAGGTATAGTCATATTTAGAACTACCATTATATCAATGTCATTTAACGTGAAGTCTGTTAAAGACCGGACGAAGTAATATCCATACTGTTATATTCCCATTTTTCAGATAATTAAATCATTATATTTCATGAATTTTGTTCAGTTACTATGTAGGTTGACCGTTGTTCCGATATACTTCATAATTTTATCAATGGACAATGAACTGTTATACTAAACAGCTTTTTATGTCTAGAAGACGAGTGTCGTTTTACAGTACAGTTACCCCTTATTACATTTGTCCATACATATAATCTAAAATCCTTATTTTTTCCTTAACACCAAAACTTTTAACTAAATGTATAGTATATTATTATTTGACTACTAGGATAGACTGGACATTTTTTAAAGTGTGTATAAACTTAGTTTACTGATATTTGCATTTCAGTGGTTGTTAAGCTATTAAAACAAAGATGAAACATTTATCGTAAACACTGAGTAATCATACAAATGACGTCAATATTGTAACGTACCCACAAAAAGAGTGTGCTGAAATATCCAGCTGATTAGTTTCCCTATCGATTAGAAAATTATCTAAATCATACATTATGCTACTTATACTTCTACCGATGACGAGTTATGGTGGTAGCGAACATGGCTAGTAAAACTTTTGTAAAGCGAATGTCCGGCGCTTTAACCGGGTTGATGGACACGGAGAGTCCACCTAGTGGAGTTGGAAAACCCTAATTCTGAACCCATGGTGCATTTGGCTTCAGTCCCCTGAGGGAACAAATGGCACATGAACCAATCGTTGGTCACCAGCTACCATGGGACTGAATCTCCTTACGATGCCCCACTGCCTTGTGGATCAGGCCTTTAGGTCGTAGGCTCCGGGTGTGGCTTCCTAAGAAAATCACCTGCTTTGGTTTGGGCACCCAGGTAGTATCACAGCCCTCACACAAATCAAATGAGATTTGTGTGGCGCATATGTATTTGGTGTCCCCTTGTACCAATATCTGTGTTCAAATAAATAAAATTTGTAAACTGCCACTAAGTTTGATAGAATCCTATGGATTCACCCAAACGGATATGGCTTATGTATGAGACGACTGGATCTTCTAAGTTCTTTACGTGATCCTGGCATATTCAGGTGATAAAAGACAATTTATTTGGGTTTCAAGTGAAAGATGTATAGGTATATATCATGACTCACGGTCTAAGCATTGGAAGTATTACAATTTCCTGCAGTGTTTTCTTAGAAAATTCAAGTCCAGCAATATCATCCCATGTAATTGAACTCTTGGAATCCATTATCTATAATGACATAAAATAGAAATTGCAACATCACAAATTTGACATGAAATCTCGAAAATAAAACTCCGAATCAAGTATTTTGTGTGTGCACATTGATGATAAGTTCGATCACGGAGCTTGTGTTTATTCCATGAGCAATTTAAAATTTTAATTATGATATGATTCGGATAAATATAATTTGGGATTAAATCAAATAATGAGACCTGACTATTTAAATTATATAAATAATGCCAGTCTGGCATTATAATCATACCATAAAGCACGTATTAGTACACGATATTTTTTAAAAGTAACATTACTACGTAGTAGTTTTCAGGACTTACACTCGTCTGTTGATAGTGTTATTGATCTAATGTAATAAAAGTCATTATGAAAACATCAAAATTCTCACTTGTATTATATAATTATAGCTGTGGTTGTGAATCCTTATTTGTTCCTATTTAAACTAAAATGCTGACATTCAGTCTAATTTCTAAAATGAACTTTTTAGTTATCAGATGGTTCACATTGTTAAAAACAATAGATATGACAGACAGTATTAAGATATGTGTATTTTCTATGGTACTTTCCGTAAAAAAAGTAACAGTAGGTGGGAGACAAAATTGATTCTTCCGTAGTGCACCGTAAACAAGTATATGTAGCGAATATAATCTTACACAAGTTTGTGTACAGATGATCATATTACGCTTAATATATGAAAAGAAACAGCGCTACGTGGTCATAGAACTTGAGTACGACAAGTCAGTAAAAGTCTTCTTGAGTTCATAATAGTTTCATTGGTAGCAGAACACAAGACAAGATTGAAATAGATAATCTCTGAGGTTAACTTTACCTAAAACACTAAAGTGGTCTATTTAATTTATAAATAAGTCCCCAAGCTCCTGCTTTAAAAGTTATTAAATTTCGACCATCTGACCTAAATAGCGTCTGTGTTGATATGGTGTGGATAACGCAGTGACTTA